AAATAATTCTTTACTAATTTTTAGTGATTCATGTATTGACAATGAAAGACGATAAACCCCAGCACCAAGTTTTAATTGAGTAGCTTCGGTTTTATTTTCTTGTTTAGATTTTTGATAGAAAAGATATTGAATAGAAAGAATACAAAATTGATTAAGTGTTTTTAATACATCAGGATGAATATCAGTTAATGTTATTTGTTTTTCATTACCAGAAATTACTTTTAATATTTCATTAAAAATATATGCCGCTGATTTTAAATGATTTATTGCTGGTTGGATTTGAATTTTAAATAAAGAAACACTTAATAAAATATGAGAAATAGCAACATTATATAATACGTTTGCTATTTCAAAATAAATTAATGAAGAACTACAATTATTATCCTTTTTAATGTGTCTGACCACTTAAAGTTTACTTGAAGAGTATTTGAGTTTAAATCAATTCTATGAATTAAAAGGTTGAGATAATTATAGTAATCCGTTCCATTTTTGATAACTATCTCAGGGTTATTAGAGTTAACAAGTTTGTCTCTTAAATTTTCTATAAGTTTGAGTGAGGGTTGTATTGATGGATAAACAGTTCCAAATTGTGAACAAATAACTCTTGTTAATGCTTGGTATATTGGAACATTAATAGTATCTTTTAATTTAAATGGTGGAAAACTAATTAAATCAAATAGTTGTGTCATTATAACTACTTCACTTTACTTTTTCTAGTTATCTTTTGGTCTTTTTCGTTTCAAATTAAAATATTCTAAATTATAAAAATAATATTATTTATTATTATTTTTTTTAATAAAAAATCAAAATATATTTAATTCTTTTTCTTTGTTCCTAAACTCAAGAACGATGTTTTCTTTTTTGGAAAGAAAAGACAATCAAATTTAGGTAATGAACACTACTTACTATTCTTTCTAAAATGTTTTTTTGGTTTTTATTCGTTTATACATTATCTTTTGACACTGTTGATTGTAATCTAAAATATCAATATGATGACTATTTGATAGCAAGTGCTGTTGATCCTGACCAAACAAAGTCAATGGTTATAACCAAAAATGGTACTGTCTTTAGTATTGAAAAAGTTGGTTTGTCATTTGTTGTAACAGAAGTGGTTAGTAATTTAACAGTAAACCACCCTTCTTTCATATGTTATGAAAAGAATATCTTTATTTGTGATTCTACAAATGGAAATTGTTATTTAATAATGACAGGCAGTTTTGACAAATTATTAATTATGGAAACAAATATCACTGGACTAGGAGAGTCAGTAGTAATTAGTGGGGACTATGGAATAATAGGGTCTATTTATGAATATTATAAAGGATATTCTTGTGGCTGTGTTAAAGTTTATGGACTAAATGGGGTATACATCCAGACATTATGGCCATTAAAGCCACATGACGATATGAAATTTGGACAACAACTAGCTTCAAATGCAAATCTTCTTGCTGTAGGAAATGGAGAAAATACTGTTGATCTTTTTATTTATCGTAATAACAAATTTGAATATCATTCAACATTATCCTCTCCTTTAACAGGGATTCATGACAATTTTGGTAGCTCTATTGCTATCTTTGGTTATTGGATTGCTGTGTCATCAAGTTTGGGAAATGAATTTAATGGAATAGTGTTTTTATTCAAATATAATGAAACAACAGATACCTTTGAATTCTACCAACAACTCACAACCCCATATGATGGTATTGATTGGTTTGCTTCAAAATTTGGAGAATCTGTACAATTTTTTGGAACTAGACTGATCGTTTCAGCACCAAATCTCTCTATTTATGGAATAGACTCTGTAGGAAGTGTTATTTTCTTTATATTAGACAATAACAAATTTGTTCCTGAAAAGTGGGTTGTACCTTCACTTAAAAAAAATAGCATGCAGTTTGGTTCTATAATTCAAAAGCAAGTTAACACAGTATTTATATTTACTAATGAATTAAAACCCCAAATGTGTCAATTCAAAAACAGTTTATCTGAAACACATGAAATTACTTTTAAGTTAAATTTAAATATTAGTGAATCAGACAATATCACATCATTATTTACTCAAATAACATTTAATATTGCCAATAGTCTTAGTATCAATAAAAATAAGTTTGTTTAATATTTCTTTCTTTTGAAATTATTAATTATTCACTATTCTTTAAGAATCCTTTGTGGAGTAACTCAAACTATTATAACAGATACTTTCGAAATAAAAAAGGTTTACATCAAAATAGAAGGAGAGACTGTCTCAAAACTTTCAAGTGTTACTGATTATTTAGGAATTTTAATCAATGACTTATTTTCTCCAATGAGTTATGACTTTGTTATTTCAGATCGTCAAAAAATTCATTTGAACATTATTTCTCCAATATCTATTGAATATAATTGAAAAAAAAATTTCTGCTTTGTCTAAACACTAACACAAAAAAAAGGATATAATAGATAAGAAGAAACTTTTTCTTAATTTGTTTTGTTCTCTTTTTGTTTCTTAAATAGTTGTGTCCTTGGCTAAAATAAAGCACATGACCAATACACGTCATTTAACAATTAATAACCTAAAGATCATGTATAAAACAAGTTGATAAAATTTCTGATTTATTCTTCTTATTTTTTATCAATAATTTATTTCTTAAATGAAACAGAAAAAAGAAATTATTGATAAAAACAAAGAAAGAAAAAATAAAGAGAATCTTAGAATTGAAATAATCAATGTCTTCTCAACCTCTTCGTCTAAGCGATGTCATCAAAATGACAATTTGTGGAGGTTCATATCCACCAGATATTGAGAAAGTAAAATCAATATCAGACTTTATGAAGATGAATACAGAAGCACCATTAGGATTGTCTGAACAATCAATGTTATTAATGAAAAAATATAAACATAAAGAGCTAACAGAAATTCAAATGTTATGTCTCTTAGAAATTGTAGATTAT